TTTTTTTTTTTTGTGATAAAATAATAGCAGAAAAAATTTATTAAGAATTCTGTTATACTCATGAGCGAACTACTTGAACTGATACCTATCATTTGAGCTCACAAGAAGGTCTGGGTAAGACTAGAACAAAGCCTAAAAGGGTTTGTTTTCATAGGTCTTTGAAGCCGAGTTAGGATCGTTTTATTGAATTTTCAACACGGTTGTATATACCAAAACAAAATTTTGACGTGAAATTTTGCTCATTAGAAAAGACAATCGTTTGTTACAGGCATCGTACAAAAATTGAGTTTACTTGAAAATTCAATATCTTGATAAAGAAACATTCGTTTTGGCCTATGAACAAAATTCTGCTTTTTGATATATATATATATATCTAAAGTTGAATTGAAAATTCAGTAAAACAATCCTAATTTAACTTTAAAGACAAACTCTTTTAGACTTTTTCTAGTCTTTCCCAAGCCTTTCTTGTAATCATGATAGAAATTCAAACGACACGTATCAATTCAAGTGATTCACTCGTGAGTATAATCGAATTCTTAATAAGTTTATCTCCTATGGACTTTGTCATCAGGCAAGCTTAAAAAAAGAAACCACTTTGTACTTTTCTAGGTCGCGGTTAGACAGCTCTAATAAGATTAGATATTTGTTATTATTGTCTTTTATCATAAAAAGAAAAAGAAAATTCAATCAAACATTAGTCCAATCAAAAAGAAAAATTACAAGCTAGAATTGTTGAAAAGTATGCATTCGGAAAAAGTATCCGTGAAAATTTCATTAGTATATGATGGATGTAGGTGTGAACATGTTGATCTTATCTTTTTCCATGCTCTAGATTTTTATTCATCGATATTTTGTCCTTCTATATTCGATCGAAATTAAGATTATCATGAAAAATATATATATATATATTGGTCAACAGCTTATCAATCTCCATCAATGTGTTAAGAAATAAATGAAAACTTTGTCAATTGAATTAGCATTCCCACATGTTATTTATTTGCGAAAAAAAAAGAAAAGAAAAATAGTTCAACTACAGTATATTATTAAACACCAGCAGTGTGAAATTAGTACAAGAAATAATTGAAAACAGCACGAAAAGATACACGCAAATTGACAAGAATCAATTGATCTTTTGTTTTTGTTGGTTATAAAACAAAAAAACAAAAGATAACATTGAATTAGAGAAGAATCTTGTAGAGAAGAAAACATCATAAAATCCTGAGTTTACTTTATACAAGACTAAAAACAAAAAAATATTTAGCTACTTAAATATATTCCATCTACTCACTAATTTATTTCGAAATAAAATAATAAATGAATTAATACTGGTAAAACTTTTTTATCGAAACTTTTTTTTTTCATACGAAAAAAAAAAAAAGAAAACAAAGAAAAGAAAATTTTCGCCACTTTTGTTCTCCCCTTTTGTTGCGTATATATAATCACAGACGTGCAACATAATAAAAATGAATAAAACTATATAAGAAAAAGTTTGTTTGTTCGTTTTTTTCACTAATTTAGTTTTTATTTTTTTATTTAACTTTGCCATTTAATATGTCCATATGCTTGAAGACCTGATAATGTTAAATAAGCAATCCAAAGAATCACAAAAAATATTGAACATATATATTTAGGTATTGTTGGTCCACCTGAAAAATTAAATAAATAAGAAAACTAAAATCTCTTTTATTTTTACCCAATTCTGCTTTGCCAAAAACACCCAAAAATCGACGAAGTGTAAGTACAACCATACCAATAATACAACAAACAGAAAAGACAAGTACACTGAATGATAAATCACCTGCTTTAACCGTAAATGGAAGATTCTTGAAAAAATAAAACAAACATAATTTTGTTTTTCTTCTATGATTAAATCTTTTAATTTTCTTACTTTTGATTCCCAATAAATGGCAGCAACAAGCCATGGTAGACCAAGACCAAGAAATACATTAACACTATTTGAACCTGTAACATTTCCAATAGCATCATCAGCTGTTTTTGAATTTTTTGCTGCAATCATTGATGCAAATGTATCAGGTAATGATGTACCAAGTGCAACAAATGATATAGCTGTTATACTATCTTTTAATCCAACAAGACAACCAAATATAGCAGCAACATCACCAACAACAGCCGTAAGTATAGCAATAAATAAAAGTGAAACAAAAAATGTTAACCAACCACCAGCTATTGATGTTGGTGGTACAAATGCAAATAGAACTTTCCAAAAAAATGCTAATGTATGACCAATATAATGGCCAACTTTTGCTGTTTCAATATCACCACCATTAACATTCATAGCTTCACGAAATTTTTGTCCCCATGTTGTTTTTGTTACACTTAATTTATCCATATCAACTTGAACAAGTGATGCCATTTTATTTGCCATTGTTTTATAATCTAAAAAAAAAACAAACAATTTTACAAAATGTAATTTATTGTTTTTTTTTTTTATTTTTTGTAAATAAACTATACCATCATCATTTATAATTGTTACAACTGTTTTTGCATTTTTTCCTATTTGTGCACCACCTGTTGAATCATATAATTCAACAGCAAAACTTTCATCTTTTTCAGCTTCAAGATCATCTACAATTGGTATAGCTATAACTTTTGATATTTCACCATGTTCAAATATTAATTCACTGTCAACAGCTAAAATAAAAAGAAAATAATAATGAATTGATTTTAGAATACATTCCAAAATAGATACAATCTTCCTGTGAATAACAACAGTGTCTGCATATTTTTATCCTGTACTAACAGCTTTTTCGAATATGTGTACAATTAGTGTTTTATCGAGATTTTCTCTTCCGGAAAGATAACTTATAATTCCGAGAAAACGAACATCTATTTTTGAAAGCACAGACATATCGTACAATAATCATCAAATCGATCTTCGGTGGCTCTCATACATGGATAAAACATTGCATTTAATTTTATAACTCTAGTAGTTTGCAATTGTTCACTTAATTTATTAGTCCGGCATTTCTGATATTTTTTTTTTCAACCGAACTAAATCGACCAGTTGAGATTCTTGATTTCTAGAAATCGACAAGTTCGAGTATAAATATTTATTCTGTTACTGGAATGTTGTTCTCAAATTTTTCCGATAGCTCAATACCCAGAACAGATCTTTTAATATGATTTGATCTGGCAGCTGGCCGACTTCTATTGACTTAACCAATCGGTTGACTGGTAAAAAAAAACAATACTAAGAATAAACGAAGAATCTTTTTAAAATTTTTCATTCAATAATTGATATTGAACAATACTTTATTTTACTTGATTTTCTTCAATAAAGATATGACTTCATTATTTAGCATAATCGAAATGATAAAAAAAAAGAAGAACAAAATGAACTACGAAGTTCGATTTTTATACTTCGAAATCTTTTATGATGAAAATAAACAGCGATTGACAATTGATTGAAATTAGTTCCAATTTTCGAGATGAAAAATCTGTACTTTAACTTCGAACAATTTCGTAGCTTTTTATGACCATAATCAATTTATTTAGTATGATCTGAGGTACTCATTATATAATATATATATATATATATATTCATTCAGAAATATTCTATTAAGTCTATTTTGATCGCTAAGTAATCTCAATAATCTTCGAAAATTGTTTCTAATACATCAGGAAATGATATTTTATATTATCAATTATAATCTATTTTAAGAATCGATCTAATCGCTAAATAAAGCGTATTAATAAATATAATATATCTCATGTTAAAATTAACTAAAATCCGAACAATTAAAAGTGTGTCTCAAAATTTGATCTTTTCTTTTTTTTTTTTGTATTCATTTTCATTTTATAATGATATATTCTCTTTTGATTTTTCTACTAGTCCTCTATCTATAGTGTATATCTTAGATTTTTATCTCTTTCTATTGATACACACTCGCTATATAATTTCAAGTATATCGATTTTTCATATCCTATTACAAGTTTAATTTTCATTTATACATATTGGTGTTACACCAAACTTCACTTTGAAATTTATTGAACATGTAGATAGTGTTATTAACATATATATATATATTAAAGAAGACGTTCATCTCAATAGTACAATAGATGAATTAATAGTCAAATCTTCTACTGTAGTAATACTGATATTAAGGATGATCAGGTGAATGAACTGGATGTGTTTTTGTGGGTGAATATGAAAGATAAGTGTGGATCGTAATACAACAAGATCTATTCTACTCTATAGACACACACAAACAGCTTTTATCAATTACATTTATGTGTATTGTATCATCTGTTTTATGTAGCATAAATTTCACTCTGACAGTGCGCATATGTTTTTTTTCTTTTTTTCTGCTTTGTTCTTTAAATGAATTTGTGCTATATTGAATTGGTGCATGTTATTAAGTTACCTTAAGTCATGTTGTGTGTTCCTATGTAATAGTATATTATAACTTCTTTTTTTTATACTATTAGAATAAAACTTAATACGAACGTAACTTCAAGATGTACTTTTAATTGTTCGGTCTTTTATTGTTTATAATAGTTTTTAGATGATAAATTCATTCAAAAAGAACAAAAAAATTATAAATTATTCTATGACATATTATTATCTATTCGATTTGTTAAAAAATCATTTGACTTACGTTGATAATCTTTTCTTGCTGTAGCATCAATATCTTTTGTTCGATAATGAACAGTAACTCGTCCATCAGCACCATTAATACGTGCAACTTTGATTTCTGCTTTTCCAACACTTTCTTTAACTAAAGTAATTGGCTCTTCGAATTGAATAAAACCAGGATCTACAAAAAAAAAAAAAAAAAAAAAAATTTAATTTTTTTGTTTTTTTTTTTTGTTTATTAAACTTATTTACCATCATCATTAATAATTGTAACAAGTGCAATTGTTTTTGAACCTACTTTTGCATGTTTTTCTTCACCTTCTGGTAATGATAATTTAACGAAAAATGTTTCATCCGGTTCCCATTGATTATCATCAATAACATGAATAGTTATTTTTTTCTCTTGTTGACCTGATTCCATTTTAAATTCTTCAGATAATTTTTCATAATCTTCACCAGCCGTTGCTGTACCATCAATTGTATCAAGTCTACAAATGAGTAATATCAATATAAACATAACTATATATACATATAAATATATATGTTTTGACAAAGTACATATTGTGCATGCGAGAATTTGTTGATACAAAAACAAATGTTTATGTCTATTTACAAGATGCAAGAGAAAGAGAGCTACAAGCATGCAAGTATTAAGCACTTAAATATATACATTCAAATAAATTAATGTTTAGTCTGTTTCTTTTTTGTTTTTGTTTTTTTACTTTTTGGAAAACTCAATCTTCGACATGAAGTTTTTCGAGTATTTTGAAAAAAATCACACCAGATGATAAAGGGACAAACATTCACACAAAGACCAACCATTCATGGGACCTACCGAAAACGGATAGCAGAAGCAGTATAACCGTGTCTGGTGACGTCAACAGTTACACGCTGTTCACGTTCAAGTACAGCATAACTGGATGAAGCAAACTCAAGTATAGCCATATGTGGATTCTCATCAATATTAAATGTTGATGTTCCTTTTCGACCACCATCTTCATGGTCAGTCGAAATGGCTCCACCAAATGGCTGCGGTTTGACAGCCCGTTGATATATCTAAACGAACCATGCTAAGTTACGATTATTCTTGCATTGTTAGATAAAATTATTTAAATCAGTGTTGAAGAAGAAGAAGAAGAAGAAGAAGAAGAAATAGATATTAAGTTAGAAAAGTTATATAAATATATATGGATGCATAGTATACTGTGCAACGTTGCATTGCATCATAGCCTAGGCGTTTATCAGTTTATATGTGGGTGAATGTAGACACCTGAATCGAACATTGACATCAATCGGACCAGTTCGTTTAACCATAACATCAACTTTTTGTTCACGCTCAAGTACAGCATATATCACAGCAGAAAATTCAAGTTTTGGTTGTAGTTCAATTTCTTCCGGTATTCGTCGTCTTTGTCCATTCTCAATTGGACTACGTTCTTCCACTGCATGATATATCTGTTTTGATATTTACATAGATATGTTAATAAGTTTATCGAAATAAATTAAACGTAGAAAACAACAAACAAACAAGAATTTCTTTTTGTTTTTTATTTACAAACCTCTTGCAATTTGCCAGGTAAATTTGGAAATAACGATTTACCACCAGCAAGCATTCGTGCACCTTCAATTCGATATTGCATACGTGATCGAGGCATACTTTCACTTAATTTAGCTGCAAATAATTGTGCTTTATCTTCTAATGATAAACTTGTTGATTGACCAAGATCCTATTTTATTATTATTTCATAAAACAAAAAAAAAAGAAGTATTTTAATTTAACTATTTGTTTAAAATTAAATCAACTTACACGTAAAAATTGAAGAAGGTCTTCTTTACGAAAAACACGTTGATTACCAGTTTCATCTACTTCGGGTGGTGCTAAATATCAATATAATATACATTTATATCAGTTATTTTTTTAGCAAAAATTTTGATAAATTCCTACTTAATATAAGTGTTCGTTCTTCTTCTTCCATGTTAATTTCTTTTGAAATAAAAAAATTCTTTTCAGCCTAATAATAGACAAGAAAACAAAATTAATTGTCTTTCATAGGTTTTTCTTTTTCTTGTCATATTCATTCATTTACCAGATAAGCTAATATAACAACCAATGGAAACATAAGAAATGTAATAATTGCTTCCCAAAGATCAACAACATCTTTTGATATTACTGATAAAACAATGAATAACCATATATATGCAAAAAAACCAAAGAACGATGTGACCTATTTTAATTCTTATTAATTTGTTATGTTTCAATACACAAAAAAACAAACAAAAGAAATAATATATATATGTATTTACCAGAAAAACATTATATAACTTTATTCTTCTTGTTTCAGGAGCCTTTATCGATGAAATACATAAAGCACAGATCATTAAAAGATTGTACGCAGCAGAACCAACAACTAAAATAATAATGTTACTTATAGCCATTTTTACATAGGGCTGAAAGACATGATATTTTTTTAACTTAAAAAGATCTTATTTTCTGCTTAATGTAGCAGATCATCTATCTCACCCATTTTCACTCACACTCACACCCACACCCATCTATTGATAATCGATGAAAATAGATTAAAAAAACTCAAAATCAAATAAAATCTGTCTTTTAAAGTTGACAAATCTGATTAAAGTCAGATTATAATAGGATCATTATAATTGATTTTTAATCTGATTCTTGATCCAATCTTTTTTTTTATATGGATATATATGCAGATATATTTTTTTTCTTTTGATAAGAAGTTTAACACATTATGTATCATTTGATGCTGATTTCAAGTATGAAGTTAATCTTCAATAAAAATGTTTCTATGTCAAAACAAATGAGTTTTATCTAGAAAAATCTTTAGCTGAGCTCTGAAATGTTCATCTTCATTCGCACTAACACTATATAAGTGTTACAATCGGATGAGCATTCAGTAGGAATTTCATCTTTTTTTATTAGAATTGTAGAAAATTGATGTTAATGACGAATGACTTTTTACAAATCCGAAACAAATAAATGCGGACGTTTTTTTTTTTACGAATCAATAGAGTGGAAAGATAGAATTTCAGATTATATGTAGTTTATTCTTTATTGTTTTTTATCTTTAATAGTAGAAAAGACTTCTTATTCTTCCTAGCGGCAATAATGTTTTGTCTATATTCTTTGACTAATGCTAATGAGCGGAATGAAGACTTTTATGTTATTAAATAAACCATCTGTCAGAGTATTTATTATTCTATTTAAGTCATTAAATAGTACAATATCAATTTTTCATTTATTGTCTAACAATTAAAATCAAAATCTTGTATTGCGAACGTCCATTCATTAGAGTAGATATTTACTCTCTATAAAAAGCTACATCCTAACTAATTAATTAATTAAAAAACTAATAAATTTTTCGAAAATATTAATTAATCATTGACTAACTATCGTAAATTTTTTTTTCTACTACTGTATTTTTGCAAAAATAGTTTCGTATTCTATTATAAATAGCATATTAATTAATAACTACTAATTAAAATTTGTACTTAACAGAAAGACTATTTAAAAAATAAAGATGCTTTATCAGATCGTATCCTTATATTTTGAAATAGACAGAAAGAAGTGAGTATCATATTTTTCTAATTTCTATTTATTTACAGTCAATATTAACTAAATTTTCTCCGTATAAATATATTTCACAATTTAAATATATTATAAAGGATTAACCATAACAAATCTATTTTTATTTATCATTAATATGACCTTTTCTGCAGATGTTTGAAAATCATTACTATATAGAGACATTTGTTTGTTTTTTTTTTTTTTTTGTCATAACAAACATAGATATCAAACTGACTTAACAATAAAAGGACAGATAACAATAATAATATCATGACCGTATCGTTTATTTATCTATAGGAAAAGTAAAAAAAAAAAAATTCTCATGACATGTTTTTTGTTTTTTTTTTATATTGATTGATAAGAAACAAGAAATAAATTAATTATATCTTACTTGTTCCAGGTCCAAGTTCTCCTGCTTCAAAACGATTTCCAACAATTTCAATAATTGATAAAAGAATTTCTGGTGAACTTGAACCAAGTGCCATTAATGTTAAATTAGCAACTGTAGCATTCCATAATTGAACTTCAACAGTTAAATATTTATCTTTTTCTCCCGGATCAGGATAACGTATTTTTTGTTTTCTTGATGTTATTGTTTCAATAGATGACATAAATATATCAGCAATAATAGCAATGCCAAGAAAAAGATAAAGTAAAAATATAAAATAAAGCACTGCTCGTAATTGTATTGACATACATGCTTCAGTACCTATTTTATTGAACAAAACAAAAAAAACAAAAAGTGATAAGAAATAATTAGAAAAAAAAAACAAAAAAGATTTAATTATTTACCAAATGGTAATATAAGACCACGACCTGAACATTTGAATCTTTGACAACTAACAGTAGTTAAATTAGCATATTCAGTAGACATTTTGCATATAAATTATGTGTAAATGTTCACATATCAGTTAAACGAAGAAAATGCAACTAAAATCATAATAAAATCGCGTCAGATTGTGTACGCCTTTTTTTTTTTCTTTTGTCAAAAAATATATAAATACATTCTTGTAAGAAAAAAAAAAGAAAGAAAGAAAGAAAGGTACATAAAATCAATCTCTTTTTTTTTTCTTTTCTTTCAAAATCAAAATTATTTATAGCGAAACAAAAATTCGGTCAATTAGAAAAAAAAAAATTTTTTTTGTCCTCGACTCGCTCGATCTAAAAAAAACAACATATACTCGATTTTTCTATTATATATATAAATATTCTCATTTAATTTTTTACTAGAATAATAAGCATAAAAAAAAGTAATAAACTGCTAATAGTCCAATCATATTGAATGTATAAATGATTAAAGGAGACAAGCTGACAGATGGCAGAACAAAAAAGAGTGTCAAAATTTGATAATATTAGTTGCTATAATTCATTTCTTGGTTGTTAACAACAACGACTTTTTATTTCCCTTTCTTTTTTTAAATGTGTCTATGCCTTTATCTTATATATTTGTCTATGTACTCTTTTTGTTCTTCAAAACTACGTCAAGAGTTGACAATGACAAACAAAAAAAAGAAGACTTATTAAACAAGCTCTTATCGTAGTGATTAATGATAGCATAAACACCCTACTTTCTTATGTAAAAAGATTTTTCTGTTTATATTAAAGAATCATTTGTCAGGAGTCAATATCACACTGTGAAAAGAAAAAAATATATATATATATATGATTACTTTTAGCATCGGCATGACGAATAAATCTATTCATACTCACGGGAAATATTTGGATTAATTTTTTGTGCTTTAATTCCTTCTTATATAAATAGATTCTTATTTACAGATATAGCATTTATGTCTATTAGTATTATTTTACATAGAGATATAATTTGTTACGATAAGAATTTGATTGATAATAGTAGTACCTTATTTGAAGAAAAAAAAAAGAAAGAATTACTTTACCGGAAGTCTAAGAATATATGCTAGATCGTAGGTAATAATAATAATGTGTACTAATTGCAAATTTGTCCGATGGTAAAGAAATGAAAGAATTATTGAATAGACTAATATGCAGCAATTTATGATAAAACAAGTTAACTATCAAATAGCAAGAGCTTACGAGAAGTTGTCTACGCAAAGAGTGAATAATCAAGCATAAATTACAGACGAAACGAGCATATAAGCCAAAATAGTTTTTTCTCGTTCTCTTCTCAACAGTGTAAATACTCCTATAATGTCGAATAGCAATGTGTAATACGTCTCTTTCGTTCTCTTTTCTTCTCTTTCTCTTTTTCTCTCTTGCCTATTTGCGCTTTCTACGCATTATAGAAACATGCAGTACCACAAAATCATGATGAAACATAGAAAAAATAATAGAAGAAAAAAAAAAAAAAAAACTAAAGCGTGTACTCTTCTCTCTTTCTGCTATTATACAGAAACAGCAGGAGAATACGAGCTTTGGAATCTAATCAATAGATATATATATTGGTATAAAACGTTTAGTCAAATACTATATTATATATTAAAGCTAAAAAACATACGAGAAAAGAAGAAAAAAAGAATACTAAGTTTTATGGTTGACACCCACACACGCACACACGTATTCGATTTGCTTCATTGGATGGCCTCATTAATGACAACACCATAAATAGCGATATATGTTTTTTTTTTGTTTTTCTCCTTTTATGTATTTATCCCAAAAATTTTGACAAAAGTCTAAAATTCTAATAATTAAATGATCGATAAAATCAAATATTCTATAAACAGAATGTAACATTTACAAATCTTTTGATTGCATGATGATACTTACCTTTTTTTTTAAACATGTAATTCTACTGTCAGGAAAAAAATATAAACTACTTTTTTTGGTCCTTTTTTTTTTGCTCTTATTCAAATATATGCTGCACTTACAATTAAGTTCTTCATATTTAATATAGACATAAAAAGGAAAAAAAAAAAGAATTCTATGCATTGCATGCTCCGTTAATGTCCAACATATGTTTCTATTTTTAGTATATGCTGATATAAAAAAAAAAACCACTAGTTATATTGTATTCTCCGACTGAATGAACAAACTATTATAAGAAATTGTGTTGTAGGATAGTTCTTAACTAATACAAAAAAAAAAAAGTAAATGAATAAAAAGATTTTTGTTTTTGTTTTGCTTTTTGTGAAGAGTCACGTGATATGTTTAGTCCTATGTATAGTATAACTCAAAAATACCTTGTGATTATATTAAACAAAAGAAAGAATAATGACAAGAATATGACATATATGTAGTTAAAGGTATATAAGAAATACCTAAACGAAACTATTTATATTCATATATAAAGTTTACTAGTAGTTTAAGTATATTCTCGCGTTCGTTCTTTCGTTCGGTCATATTTATTGAAAGAGGACAAAAAGAATTGCAAATAATCAATGAAAAATTTTCTTTTTTTATGTGTGGGCGTGTATCGTGATGTGAGTTCATGACACATACGTATATATACGAACATTGAGGAATATTTCGTACATGTTGTCGTTGTACATAACAACAATTGTCATATATTATTTTACTTTTTTCTATATCATTAAATGTAATGATGAAAATATTATTGTACCATGTTTTACACGAAATATTAATGTTAAAATTGATGAATTTGATAATCGTATATCAATGAAATATATTAATTGTACACGACAATTAAAAAAACATATATTTACAATAACATTTGAAATACATCGACAATTGAAAAAATTTGATCATATATTTGAATCAAATATGGTTATAACACTTTTTGCTGGTCCATGTTCATCAAGTACAGCAACATTAAATATTGGTCGAACAATTCCATCAATTCATGGAACATTAGATGATAGTGATCCATCACCACTAGCTTCAAGTCATTTATCATGGAATGGACAATTACAAAAAGGAACAATTTCATATGAATATGGCGGTGATAGAGGAAATTTTGCACAACTTATATCAGCTCTTATTCATGTTGTTATTCGTTATGGAAGAGAAGAAATGATAAAAGGCATATATGTCATAAAATTTAATAATTAGAATATAAGAGTTTGCCTCTATTCCTCTATTATACTAAAAAGAAAACTACTTATGATAAGTTGAATGATGCTTAATAAAAGAAAAAAAAACTGAATTTCCTGAAGGACATAAATTTCCGTTTGCATGCTCTATTGAATGTGAATAAACGCAATTTATTTCCTTGAAGCTATTCATTTATGTCATAAATAAACATAATTAGAAATTTAGAATTTGGTTTTTTTTTTTGTGATGTTTTTTTTTCTGTATACATAAAATAAATAATCAATTAAAAATAAAAAAAAAAGTCAACAATTGATTTATTCGATCGAAATTTTCTAAATCTTTATTAATTGAAATTTTGAGAAACAGATGAAAAGATTTTTTTAAAAAAGCAAATAATTACCTATGAAGTAATATGATATCAAAAATAATCTCTGTTTTTCGTCAAATATGACAAAGCACGATATGCAAAAAACAAAATGAAAAACAATTTATACCATAGGATTAGTACCTATATGCGATTGAATATATAAATAAATAGTCACACATAAAACAATTTTAAAAATCAGTACCTATCGATCATGTCGCATATTTATCGTATTATTCTCGCTATTTTTATTGTTTCACAAACAATAAATGCAGGTTTCTTTGATAAAGAAGGTCTTATTCTTATACCATCAGTTGCTTTTCGAGATCGTTCATCACCAAATGATTGGAATTTACATGCTCAAGGATGGTATTATGAAGAAAATCCTGTACAAGCATTTTTAATGGAAAAATCTTTAGAACTTATCGTTCGAAAAGATTTAGATCGAAATCGTGTTAAAATGTTTACTGCTGAAGGTGAAGATGGCGAACAAATATGTATTAATGCCCTTAGTCGATCGATGTGTACTAAAACAGACAAGGAAGGACGTATTAAAAATAATTTCAAACTAACAAATCAAGAAATTGAAACACTTCGTCAAGTTAGTAGTGGTGGTGGTAAAGTATTAGTTGACGTAGGAGTACAAAAGAAAAATCTTAAAGGTATAAATGAAATATTGTTATGTGATGATAATGGTCTTACAGTTATAAGTGATATTGATGATACAGTTAAAATAACTGAAGTAACATCATCAACACAAACACTTATTAATACATTTAGTGGTGATTTTAAAGCTGTTGAAGGTATGGCAGAAATTTATCGTCATTGGGAAAAACAATATAATGCAACATTTGCATATTTAACAGCATCACCTGATCAATTATATCCATTTTTAAGAGAATTTTTTGATCGTGAACAATTTCCAATTGGTTCAGCACATATGAGACATTTTACATGGCTTGATAAAAATTTTATAACATTTTTTATGTCATCAAGTTATATGTCAAAGAAAACTGAAACATTAGAAATGTTTTTAAAAAATACACTTAATCGTAGATTTGTTTTACTTGGTGATGTTTTTCAAAAAGATCCCGATATATATGCAGGTATTTATGGTCAATATCCTGATCGTATTGAAAAAATTTTTATTCGTAAATATGATAATGATGTTGTTGGACAAGAACGACTTGAAACAGTATTTAAAGATGTACCACGTCATAAATGGGCAACATTTGAAAAAGGTTCTGATTTACCACGAAATATTTTTTAAATATTAATTAAAATTGTCTTTGATTTTTTTCGAAATTAAAAATAAAGATAAAAGAAAATATTCATCAATAATATACATATGATATTGTTATAGATAGATATTCATGAGAAGTTCAATTTGGAATCTGACATAAAATTCAGGTCACATTCTTGAATTGATCAATTATCATACTTTCTATCTAAGATTTACTTTGAAATTTTAGACGAATCTCAAAATTATCTAGGTCAATTGCGGATTATACGGTCAAATTCGAATCTATCTAGGCCAATATTAA